GATAGATAATATCATTTTCTCTTCTAGAAAAAAACTTAAATATATGTTTTTTTTCTTAACATACTAGTCAATACTTGTATGTTGTTTTTTTATGGTAATGCTTCCCCCCCTAATATCTTTAAAAGGAGTAAGATAAGAATATCTTGGGTGGAGATAAGGGTTGGAATGTTCAAGTCTTGCTTCAGGGGATGCACCTGCCCAGTGTCAGGTTCGTTTCTGCCAGTGCCTTTTAAATCACCAACTTCTATACTGCAGCAGCTGAGATGAAACATTTGCTGACACTCAAACCTAGTGATACTTTTCCTAGAACCACAAAGTTCACCTTCATCGTAACAGAACATTGGTTAGCTTTGGGCTTAGGAACTTACACTGTAAAGGACAGGAATTCCTTCCATTAAAACAGGTCTATCAGATTAAAATTATGCCTCGTGGACTTTAGGAACATACACACTTCTTAATACAAAACAAGAATCTTTAACAGAATTTTAAGAATTACTGCTAGTGGGTTTAGCTGCTATGTCTAGACTACCTAATGCTTTCATTGAATGAAATGAACACATCACTAAGCACTATTATCTTCGGCTCTGAATTCAGTATGAAATAGATCCTTCCACTGAGCTCTAATATAACCAGGAGATACTTATTCCTTAGTGTTTTTTTTTTTTTTAGGAGAGGTTTTTGTTTTAGGGTACATGTGCTCACCAGAGATACAGAGAAAGAAAGATAGAAAACAAGAAATCAACCCCCCCCCCCCACGGGCAGGACCACCACCCAAACCCCTTTCCTGACCACACCACAATCCTTTCTCCTCTTGGGAATTTGAGCACACATGCACATGCGCCTGATGCGAGTTTCAAGCCACCAGGTCCGGGCCTCAAACTGCAGTTGACTACATGGGAGTCCAGCAATTTAACCACTCCACCATCTACTGATCCCCCTAAGTGCTTCTCTTAAAGTCACTCTAATTGTGGCAGAAAGATTCTATGAAGATTTATAAAATTGTTGTTGCTACATGATTACATCCTCAATGTCAATTTTAAACATATAGAAATACAGAAAAAAATTATTCATCTGAATACTATTCTAGATAGAAATCAGGTGACAAGTAATAAATGATATTCTGCTTCTCTTTGGGCTCTCAAAATGTTACATTTAGAAATGTGGTTAACTCTTTTAAAGTTTTATTTCACTGCCACCTTTGGAAGAGTAGAAAAATAATTAATATTTGCTAATACATCTTATTTCTTCTCAATAAGCAATGGGACTTTGTATAAGAATTGAAACTCAGAAAACAAAGATCAAAGTGAGTCAGTCTGGGAACAAATACTACAAAAAGGTCATAGCCTATAAAATTTAAAGTTCAAAAACAGACTGTTAGCCAAAAATTAGTTTTCGAAAGCCCTAGAAATCAACCTTTACCCCATTATTGAAAAATCCTCGGAGACTTCATTATTCAGAAAATATCAACACCTAGGGTTCTTTCTTAGTTTTATGTGTGTTACTAACTGATACGGTAACTCTACTGAAACCAAACGCTTATGTATAAATGTGTTATACTGATTTTAATAACTGCAAACAGAATTATTTTATACTTTCTGTTTATAAAGTATATTAGACTCACTAGATCATAGGGCAAACAAGAATAGATTTTGCTGTTTTTTTTTTTTTCCTTTTTCAAAGAGCAACTAAAATAACTCAATTCTAGGAAAAGTCTAGCTTAAGTACTTCTTGACAATTCTTTGAAAAAAAAAAATTGGTAAGCCAAGGCAAATATTATATCCAAGAACGGAGGTATAACATTCCACTCAGTACACATTGCCAACCTGCTATTAAGACTCATGTGACTAAAAGCTATTCAGGAGAAAGGTGGAGATGGTTTAGAGAAAGTACTCGTATGAGTACATTTTGTATACTCATGGACATATGCAAACACTTCTTAATTTGAAAATTTGAAATATATGAACTAGCCAGTGACAATTTCTGGCAAGTAAGTGCAAATAAAACAGCTTCCTGAGCTCGTTTTTGACCTGAAAATTGGCATAATACTTATTATGCTACTTCCAAGATACATAAAGGATTTAAAATGTTTTAAACTGATCATCATTATTTCCAATTGCCTCTTGATAATTTGTCTTACAATTTACCTCACAAGGCGGTAAATCAAAACTAAAAAACCAAAAACTACTCTGCAGATACAAGAGAGCTATGGAGAGAGAGGAGAGGCTGAATGAGCGTCGGTGTGACTCAGGGTAGCAAGGTTTAAGGTAGACAACGCCTCTCCACCTAGGCCTACGAGGTTGTCAAACTGTACTTGGAAAACTGAAAAGTATATACATATACACAATTCATAAATACAAATATGCATTTGCCTTCAGTGGGTAATGGCAAGCTGACCAGAAGGAGCAAACCATAGCGAGAGCAATGGTTAGGGGTGGCTTCCCTCCCTCCATAACACACGTCTAGGTTTTCCTCTCAGAAACACAGATTCATTCTCCAGACAGGAAGCTCTTATCTGACTACCTGTACAAGCAGGAAACTTTATCTTTTTTCCAGTTTCTGACTGGATGGATAAACATGATAAAGACAACAAACAGTTGAATTTTTCTTTTAATTATGTCACTTAAGGCATTCTTGACATAACTGTTTACAAAGCAATGTGGTGAAGATAACACCTGCACTATTACACTCAGCCACTTAACCCTGGTTTTTATTATTTACTTATTTAAACCCAGAGGGTACATGCACTCACCAGAGACACAGAGAGACAAAAGAGACAGGGAGAGGGAAGAAGCGTTCTCCCTCTCCCCCAGTGGGGTATAGTCATGCCATAATCCCTTCTTCCATTTTCCTGTCCTAGACCATGAGGCTGGCCTGACCCTGGTGTTTAACTTAGAGAAGACAACTTTAAAAAGGTCTCATGTTGGTGCCAGTAAGTGGTGTGGTGGTGGAGGCGCTGGACTCCCACGTGGCTGACTGTAGTTTGAGTACCGGCCTGGCAGCTTGCTTTCTCACTTTCCTTGTCTCTCTGTCTAGTGAATTAAGTAATAATAATAAATAAAATGAAATAAATAATTTTTTTGAAATGTTCTGCATCTGTGCCCTAAATTCTCTGAACTTGCCCCCACTGACCACAGTTGATTCCTCTACAGACTGAGGCCACTAACCCCTCTGCACGGAGCGTGCTACGTGGCACCAGGGCACCTGGCTTGTAGCACTTTTTTTTCCTTTCCACTGGCTCTGTCCACGAATACAAACTACCCAAGTTCACTCTCTTAAATATCTTAATACCCCAAATGTAATAAAACAAGCAGAAGAAAACCCCACCCTTTTCTGGGCTCAGTCCTCCTCTAAGCAATAACCTAGTGTCTCCCTTTCCTTCAAGAGATGGATAGTATCCCTGACTATCCCTGCTTCTCACTCTCAGACCTACAGTGACCGGATGGGGCTCTGATTGGGGCCTGGTTTGTCCCAGAAGCCTCCTTGCAGGTTTCCTAGTCCCTCTCACTGTTCCCTTTCATCTCTTCTGCACTGTTGTCACGGGACATTTTATAAAACCCAAGTCTGTTTATACTACTTTCCTGTTTTTACTTCCTGTATTGCAACCCTTCATTTTCAAGAGAAAATGCAATCTCCTCAAGGCATCCTCATAGCCTAGTGGTTAAGGGAGCCAGACACCACGTGGTCAACCATGATTTGAACGCTGGCTCCTGTGGTTTAAAAATCACTCCAGGTATGTGTCGTGTACCCTAGATCACAACATGGTGGAGAAACAGAGAAGGGAGTGCAACTGACCATCCCATTGGGGGTGCTCTCTTCCTCTCTCTCTCTCTCTCTTCGACCATCCCATTGGGGGTGCTCTCTTCCCCTCTCTTTCTCTCTCTCTCTCTCTGGTAATTCCACGTGACCTCAGGTGATATAAATAAATAAAGAAAAAAAAAAAAGAAAATGCAAACTCATTTATATGGGATACATTTTTCAAGATGTGACGATACTTGGCTTAGTCTCCTAACCCCCGTTGCCCTTCTCCTGTCTCACGTGCCTAAATCGAATACTGCACCAGCAATTCCCCTCCAAGGGGCCTTACTGCCCGGCGTGTCCTTGCACTTACTGCTTTTAATTCCAGAAACACTCTTGTCTCCATTTTCCTGCCCCCAAACCTCTACCTAACCTACAACCTTTGTCCAAAGTCCCTCTCTTTCTGAAACCACTGAACCTCATCTCACAATACAGTTACGCGCCTTTCCTCTGTCCTTGCTTCCCGTTCTGCAAACTGCATTTTAAGCTTCTCCAAGGGAGCTCCTGAGTCTTATTATTTTATCACCAGCCCCTTTCAATGCCTGGTACATCATAATAGACACTTAGAAATTGCATCTTTTTTTTTTTTGCTATAGGGTGCGTGTGCTGGCTAAAGAGACAAACGGAAAGTGAATAATCACCCCTGCCCCCAGGGGGCTGGTCAGGTCTTAATCCCTTCTCCTCCATTACCCCCCTGGGATTTTGGACACAAGCACACGCATCCGCCATGAGTTCAGGCCGCCAGATCTAGGATTCAAACTGCAGTCGACTATGTAGAAGTCCAGCAGGGAAGTTTGCTTTCAGATATACTGTGCACCATCGTGGTTAACAAGCAACATTCAAAATCAGTCTGTGGGAGCGGTTCCAGTGACAACTCTGATCTCCACTTCACACTGCAGATAGTATTTTTCTATTGAGCATCTATAAAGAGGTACCCAAAGAGTAACTTCAGTCTTAACTATGAGCCCCACAGGCTCTGTCTGCTTGAGTAAGTTATTTCAATCCAGGAAACAAAACCACTGGAAATATTATCATAAGAACTTACTAGTCAGTAAATTCTCACAACTTGGAGTGGATTTTCAATTATTGTTACTGGCCTATATAGTGTTGAGGCCAGTAGAAGATACACATAGACATACTTATGTGGGCTACGCGCAGAGGAGACAAGGCGATGTGTATCGGGGAGGTAAAAGAAACACACCCACCTGGATGCGACCTTGGCACCACTGGCATCCTCTGCTGAACTCACATCATCCAAACAGGGTTTCCGACGACTCCGCCGCAGGCTAAGCTGAGGAACACCGTCAGAGAGCTCTGGCTGTGGTATCCTGTGGGTCTGAATAGACCCCTCACTCCTGGACTTGGGGATCTGGAAAATTAAATTAAAGAGAAAAAGAAAAAGAAATATATACGTAAATGTCTTTTAAATTACATTATCAAGGAATTTAGCTTATTCTGATATGTTAATAATCCAATGTATCAATGTATTAATAACAGCCCAGGATAATACCAAGCTAGGCATGGAATTAAATATATATACATATGTATTTTTTATTATATAACCAAGGACACAGG